TATACACTTCTATCAATGGATATGACCATCCACTAATATCCAGTTTTAACCATCACACATATCCCTTGGAAGAGTGGGGTATGGGTCAAGCTTTTGAGTACCTCCCACATGACCCGGTGAAGTCGTAAGAATGAGATAAACGGGAAGTATCTTGCTGACCCGTGCCCTTTCTGAAAGACTTGGAAGATAAGGTCATGCAATTGGAGCTTCACAAAAACCTACAATTGGTGGTTTCAACCTGCTTGAAAACATAAGTCAACTAGGATCATCATCTCAGGTAACATGAAAACAAGCAAATACCCTCTGGTAAACTAGCAGTTTGCCATGGAAAATCGTAGCTACGCTTGTTTACTGGTTTTTAGATCTACGGATCTACGGTCGTCAACTGTCCATTCAAAAGTTCCCACACACTAAAAATCCCATGAATATCCCATGAATAACCCATGAATATCTCATTAAATCACATTAAATCAGCATTAAATCCCATAAAATCATCAAAAATCATCATGAAATCACATGAAATCACATTAAATCCCATTTAATCAACATGAAATTCTACTAAATCCCACTAAATCACCGCTAAATCTGGTATGTCTGGGAAACCACTGATCGCCACCACTGCCTGATCGGAAAAACGACGGACCTAAGCTGCCAACCGACTTGTCGGGGAATGTTCCTCAGCAAATCGAGAGAATTTTCGCGGTGCTGGGGATGAGAATTTGCGAGAGCAAAGATCTAAAAAAGAAATCACGAAATGAAATTTGAACTGTCAGTTGCATTCGAAATGTTTTTGCCGGACTCGAAGTCTTATAAGTCTTTTTTTTCAAATAGTTCATCTGGAGTCTGATCGGAAGTCATTGATCAGCACCCCGTCTTGTGCCATCTGACTTTCAAAAGTGCCAAGTGTCGTGTCATAGCGCAGGGTGAAGTTTTTGCTGGGCAGCGCTATCCCTCTGCTGGTGCACAACTCCTGGTTCATAGCTGTTGATGTTGGACATAACCGTTGAATAACTGGGATTTCTATCACTATTGGAATGTGTCATTGAACATATTTAGACAACCTGAAGCCTCCCAAAATTCAAAATATATTGTAATATTTGAATTTTGACCAAGTTTTCCTGGACACCGGTCAGTTTTCCTCCAAACCTTATTTTTAATTGGAGAAATCTGCCAAAAGTTCAATTCTTGGCTTGTTGAATCCCAACTTTGGCTTGATTGCATGAGGCTTCGTTGATAGGGCGACCCCATTTTCATGGTTGACCACCACTTTAATCCGTGTGTGATGATGGTGTTCATCATGAAGTGTAGCACTTCCTTGCATCAGAGCAAGATACTAGTGCTTTCTTCCATATGGGATGTGACGAAAGACTTCAACTGTCTTGCTGAAGTCAGTCCACCCCGAAAACTGTAGAAGGAATATGACTGACCAAGTCTGCATGATTTTGTTTGATGCGTTATTCTTTGAGTCGCAAAAAACATGCGAGCTGAACACATGTGAGTAAGTTCCAAACTCTTGGAGACTCAAAAGGTCCAAATACTGGAATTTGTGATGGCTTGGAAACATTAGCCCACAGGGATTGATACATATCATCCCTTTGCTCCAAGTCAGGAAAAGAAAACTCCAACGGTCTCGCAGAAACAACGAGATTTGAGAGACTTCAAACAGAGGAAAATGCCATGAAACTACACTCATACACGGTGGTGCCCCAGTTTGCGAGCTAACTTGCTTCATTGCTTGGTTTACTGGAGCTAACTTGCGTCATTGGTCTGGTTCTCGCTGGGTTTATGGTGATGAAATAACCATAGTCAGGTGGCCGGTGACTACTAAACCAACATAACTTGGGGGCACCACCTTCTACTTGGGACATCCCAAAAGTGTTTTTTTTCTGGTGGCTTTCAGTCCAGATCACCCAACATCGTTGCGTTGCCATGCAGTATTTAAGCTTCCATGTTCTAGGTTTCCCAAAATTGATCTGTTCCCATTGCTTGCTGATGACATGACAGTACAGTAATAGTACTCTACTTGACATCTAAATACATTATGTACTAATATGTAGTATATACGCATATTCACGATTCAACATAGAACCCTATAGCCTATACATACACTCATAAAGACATAAATGCATCTATAGATAAATATCATCATCCATATACAACAGTAATCAATAATACAGTTTACATCCAAGCAGCTAAATTAAATAGACTTGCCCTCTGGCAATTTGACAGTTTGCTATTGAAAATGGCCCATTTAGTTCGTTGATTTACCGACAAATAGTGATTTTCCAGTTCGCAAGCTGTAAACGTTTTCGATTTTCCACAAATTTCCATAGTTAAATTTCCCAGTTTCATCCATTTTCTCATTATATATATATATATATATTCATATATATATATATATCCCCAATGATATCCCCAAACATGTCCATCAATGTTTTGGAATTCCAAAACGGTCAAGGTCGCATCTCCTGGAAGCGCTTGCAGGTCGCCATCAACAAGCGCGTGCCACCATAGTAGCCCTTTTTTGGCGCCGAGGGAGGACATGGATGTTGGGAATCGACTGGTGGGACGTGGGAATACCATTGACATATCATTCTGTATGGGACTTAACATATGGGACCTGTATAGAATATTTGGATGTGATTTTGTTATAACGCTTGAATCTGGTTGAAAACCAAACATATTGATAATACATGATAATACATGTTTGATGCCAATGCGGTATTACTCAGTGTACTGCCAATGTGGTGTACCACATTATGTGAGTGAGATTTCTTGTAGGACTCACTATTTTTTGAAACTATTCTTACATATTAGTACTATGATCGAATAAAACTGAATATCATTTCACAAATACAACTTGAATTAAAGGCAATGGCAATTACTAGTATATGGTAAAGCCAACAATAAATGGAATGATTACTATAGAATCCAATTGAAATCACTGAATGTGACAATCCAAATTGCAAACAAATTGATGACACGCAATAGTTGGCAAAGGGGACAACTAGTTTGATTGGTTCATTCCTATGGCAAGATTCAATTTGTGTGAACCATGTGAACCCACAACCAGCGAACATCCCTGGTGTACACCGGGATCATCCGCATGGAGGGCAACCACCAGCGTGCGATCCCCGCTAAATGGAGCACAACAAGCATGGTGCGATTCGGTGCTTTCGTAGCCCCAAGATCCCCACATGTCAAGAATCCAAGGATTTCGGCCCCAATGTTTGATGATGAACATCTTGAAACATATTAAAACACGTCAAATGTGTCAAAGATGTTCAAAACATGGTACCTAATGACCCATATGGGAATGGATCCAAACAACATAAATATTGGAAGGAATAAACATAAAATCCCAGCTATTTTTGTGCTGACCAGGGTGTCTTGAGCCATATCCATATGGCATCATATGGCTATGGTTACGATATTTCAAGACCCCCTAAAAACATCAACTAGTCCATGATCCATTGTTGATTCCTCGTGAAACCACTAGAGGGATAAATATAAATAAGGTATGGGTCATGTTCTGAATTGATTGTAACCATAGTCTACATCACATCACCATGAATTTTATACATCATCTCCCCAGTATACCCCCATGAATTTGGCAAAAACACATGTTCATGGAGATTTGCCATAAATATCCCCAGTTCACCTAATATGTCTCAATGGAAATCTCCCAAATGTTCCCATCCATTTTCCCATCCATTTTCCCATGTATCCCCAACAAAAATCCCAAAAAATCCGCCATCTCCCCACCTCCCGGCGGCCGATGAAATGCAGATCCGCCAGGCCCGAAAAGGTCGAGGGGTCGAACAAGGGATGCGGCAGCAGCCTACCGCACCACGCAGCACCGAGGGTTTTCCCAGATTTTCGAAGCTTGGGAACGGAGGTAGATAGTGAAGCGATACCGAAAAAAACCCAGAGGACTGTAGTAGAACCAATCACTATAACTGTTAAATATGTGGCATATTTTAAGCAGATCTGGAAATAGAACTTGATTTTTCGTGAGGTGATATGAAATCCCATCAACACACCATCAACTCACCATAAAATCCCAGAAACTCACCATAATATCCCATTAAACTCACCATAAAATCCCATCAAAATCACCATCATTTTGGACCTGCCCAAATTTTGGGGACTTCCATTGCCCCCCTGTGCCGTGCCTCAGTTGCGCCGACTCCCAGAGCTCCGCGGAGGCCCAGAAGTTGCGAATCGTCACCGAGAGCGTCTGGGGCCCGTGGAACGGTGGAGGGTTGGCCTGGTCTTTACCCTCTGGTTATGTCAAAATAGCTATTGAAAATGGCCATGGAAATAGTGAGTTTTCCCATTAAAAATGGTGATTTTCCATAGTTATGTTAGTTTACCAAGGGTAAGATTGGAGAAACAAGAAGAGCCATGGTAAAATGGGGGCGGATCGGAAGTCCGCCCAATGTTGACCGCTTTTTCATCAAAAGATGAGGAAGACTGAAGTGGGAAAAATGGATAGATCGAGTCTAGTCCGTGGAGGATTTGGGGACTTTTTTCATCTCCCATAGGATCCATGTATGCTATATATGGTAACATTTACCATCAATATACCCCCAATGTTAGCATATATACCATACATGGATCCTATGGGTCTGGAATCGGCAATAAACCATTCAATTTCTGGTTAATCACTGTACACATCCGTGGTAAGATTTACCCTCCAGGGTGACCGGGGCGCCCGGGTGATATTTGAATCACCGAGAGTTTGTTTATCAATACTACCATCTGGTTATGACTAACATAGCCATGGACAATCACCATTTTTTATAGGTAAACCATCTATAAATGGGCCATTTTCCATGGCTATGTTAAATAACCAGATGGTAAAATCTATCTCATAGCAACCTCCAAAAGATATGGAAAAGTAAAATCATACTGAAACAGTGGCAACTTGCTTCTCGATCTTTTTGGGTGGTTACGAGAATTATGACAATGTATAGCCAATGGTAACAATTTTTGGCACTGGTACTGTCATCATTTAAATTTAGATGTCTATAGAACATATTCCAGTGATATTCGTTGATATTCCATCGATAGCCCAGTGGTTGGTGGTTTTTGAACCATCTTGAAAAATATGAGTAAGTCAATGGGAAGGATTATATATCCCATATATGAAATGGAAAATAATCCAAATGTTTGAAACCAGCAACCAGGCCATAATACCCAGCTAAGGATAACATCTTGAATGGTTTCTAAAAAAGATTCACAGGAATCCCCTATTTTTTGGTGAATGGTTTGTCAGGGTGTCATGAAAACTGCCAATGGATTCCATGGATTCTGCCATTGGTTGTTGGATATAAATCTGAAGGTCATCAACACGATCCAACAATCACTAATCCATTTGGAATACGACATCTCACTGACATTGGATCCATTTGGATCCACATTCCTTCACAAGGAATGTACCCTCTGGTTATGTCAAAATAGCTACTGAAAATGGCCATAGAAATAGTGGATTTACCCATTGAAAATGGTGGATCTTTCCATAGTTAGGTAAACGTTTACCAGAGGGTAACAATGTAACATTCCTTATCAGTTCGATTCATACTAATCAGTACCATGAACATTCATTAACTGGCTACTCAACATGAGTGATACGTCCATATTATCCGATGAACGATGAATACGCAATAATATCAATATTAACATCATGACTAATGTATATTAGCATTTCTATTAGTATTGCTATTGTGTAATTAATTGGTATTTCAATACCACTATCAAGCGAATATCAATTTCCTTAATATACCAATAGTCAATATTAATCGACGAATGCCAGGTCAAATGCCTAGCACCCATTTCTAAAAGTCATAGCTGCTGTTTCTGGATATTCCCCCAAATGTGGTAATACACACTAATACATCGAAGCAATATTGATAAGGATAGTAGTAATATGGGGATTATATAAATATTCACCCAAATGTGGTAATAATAATAATAGGTAACTTGACCCATGCCCATATTTTTGCTGGTTATATAAGTTTGTCAGGTTTGGTGGTTGTGGGTTCTCCCCAGGGCCCCAGTTTATCAAATGCTGTTTTCATGCATAGGCAACTTGACCCATCCCCCAGTTACTACTGTGGTAATAATACATATATATATATATATGGTATTTCCATATTACTATCGATGATAATATGTATTGTTATTAGATGATACTATGATTCATAGTAGTAATTTATATGTAATTTTTACAAAATAATGACCCATTCATTCATATGGCAATATTTCGAAGCAATAAAAACACCAAGCCTCCCGGCCTTGCCATGGAAACCATCGCTGGGATTGCCCATGAGCCCCACGCGCGCGTACCTGGATTTTGTGCCGAGGCTGAGCTAAGGAGTGCTTTTTGATTGGTGGGAACCAAGGAAAATCGTGGTTCAATGGGGATAAAAAATGCAGATTTCATGGGATTTCATGGGGGTATAATCAACAATACGACTTTAAAAAAAAAACCAAAGAAATGGTGGTTAGTCAGCAAAGATTTGGGTTTGGCCAGTGTCTTACGAGCAACTTATGGTGCATTATGAAGGGTATGGACCCTTTGGGGTACCACGAAAAATGGGTGCTTCACATTAATATACATTAATTACATCCAAAAATTGTCCAGTGATTCCGGGTCATCCTGCATTTTCCATATTTTTCACCTGCACTAAACTCACCATTCGATACATCAAATCAATGGGAATTCCGGGATCCTAAAATGGAGGTACGTTAGTACCATATTGTTGGCCATATTTTGTGGGGATATTCCCTGAAAAATAGGCCTGAAAAATAAGCCAAAAATATATGGAATCGGTACCTCCGATCAATCGGTTCCTGAGTCATGGCCATTGATTTGATCATGAGGTGATTATCACATATTGTCCCACTATATGATCTATCAAGTGGCTTGATAATGATAGATGATATAGATATAAACATATATATATATATATCCATAGATAATGACATAGATAATGGCATATTGTCCCACTATGATCTATTATCATCTCCCAGTTGTTACTTGGTAAATGGTCTATGATCCATAAATATCCATATAGTTTAACCCCTAGTAAACTCACCATTCGATACATCAAATAAGAACAGGAAACCTGCCGCTTAAATCCCATGAGTGCGAGCCACGTCTTGGTGCGGAAGCGGCCACTCGTACCGTCCTGCACGGCAGTGGAGGGGTGGACGGTGACGGTGGGAACTCCACTATAAATGCAGCTTTGAATGGAGATTTCGCAGCAACAAATGGTGGATTTCCCAGCATTGAAGTTCAGGAGGGTAAGGATGAATGTGTACCCTCTGGTAATTTAGCATAGCTATTGAAAATGGTCATTTATAGTGAGTTTTCCCATTAAAAATGGTGATTTTCTATAACTATGTTAGTTTACCAGAGGGTATAGATGAATATAGATGCATCTAATGAATCATAATGACATATCTATTGTGGAGAGGGAGGACATCTGGATTCCTTCAGATTAAATGTACTGAAAAATGTCATTATGCTGCTTCAGCCTTCTGGTGATAGGTCGCCATAGTTGAACAACAACTCCAATTTTACTGCTTATCCCAAGATTCGCTTATCCCATTCTAGCTTTGCCATATACTTGAACAACAAAAGATCCATATAATTCTGTTGTTTTTGTGCAATACCTGTTTATATACCCTCTGGTAAACTAACATAACTATGGAAAATCACCATTTTTAATGGGAAAACTCACTATAAATGGCCATTTTCAATAGCTATTTTGACATAACCAGAGGGTACATGCATACACAGTGAATCCCCAGGAATATCCCAAGATTCGCAACTCGTTTATACCCCCAACTGAACGGTCCAAGCTGTTCACGGAGGAGAAGGTTCGATCCAACTGACCTGGGAGGTTTTTTGGTGGGGATACGAACGGTCGCTACTCCCACGGATCCTAAGTTATACCCTCTGGATCCCTCTGGTAACTTAACAGTTTGCTATTGAAAATTGCCATTTATAGTGGATTTTCCCATGAAAAATGGTGATTTTCCATAGCTATGTTAAATTACCAGAGGGTATCCCTGGTGTGGGATAGGCTCAATCCACTGACAATTCGCTGGGTGTTTTTTTGTGACCGATCTGTGGGATCTGTGCAGATTTTTTTGGAAAATTCTACAGGAAGCCCCGCTTCTTTGCTGTCAAAATATAGGGAAGTCCTGCAAATGTTTCTTTCAACGTCATTCAACGGTTTTGAAGAATGGGGATAAAGCCAACCAATTTTGCTATAGCCTACGTTCTGGAGAAGGAATATATCACGGACTTGGCTTAAGGGAAAATCAACGGGCTAAACCCTTCTATTTTGGGCTAAACTCATGGTTTTCCTGATGTTCACTGTAAACTTTCCCTCATCCAGTAGATACAGCAAGCATTTGAGACAGTCGATCCGATCCATCCGATCCAAGCCAACGGGGTGATGACATGGCACAAAAATCGTGATTCAATTGGGATAGATCTATGAATCTGATGAATAGTTGGATGGCTAATATGTATTATGTATGTTGGATAGTGCAGATATTATATAATTATCTATACTATGGATATTATATTACTATGATTATTATGTATTATTATATAATTCATTGATGATGATTGCTCTGGGTAAATTATAATATTTCACTAACCGTTAACCTGAATAGTCCGGCCATTTGGGGATGATTCCCCTATAAAAACAATGATTTCCAGTGAGGGAGAACAGTGAGGTCGTTATAATTTACCCAGTATTATGTATGTTGGATAGTGACAATTATATAATTATATTATATGTTGTATAATCTGTATATCAAAGCCCATATTATGTATCATATTTTGATATTCACATTTGGGCTGTGATCCATAGCAATGTCAAGATCTTTTTTTAGAATGTGGATAGAAGCAACAAATATACAATTCTAAGATGATATATCGGATATGATATTATTACATTCAGGCATTCTGGGATGTTTGGACAGTGGAAAATCACCATGCCGGATAATTTGCAATGTCATTCCAAAGCCTGTTTCAAGGCCATCTTCAGCCTTGAGGAGTGTCAAATTACCCTCTGGTAATTTAACATAGCTATTGAAAATGACTATTTATAGTGGATTTACCCATTGAAAATGGTGGATCTTCCAGTTCGTTATGTAAACGTTTACCAGAGGGTAGAACGGCTTAGACATCTGCCGACAAATCACCAAGACCCAAACTTCTCCCGAAGGAGACCTCCCCAAAGAATCAGCTTTCAAGTCCTAAATCTACCAGCATGATGGATGGGACATGATTCATCAAAGACCGAAAACCATGAAGTCAGCATTGATCAAACCGCAGCCAAATTTAGAGATACTACCTTAGATACCCCTCCAGTAAAATATATATGACTTAGATATATTTGGAGATACTATCTGTTATAACTTAGATATACTTAGATATTAAAACGCCCGCATCTGTCGATCATTTTCCCAACTGGAAACCTTCCTGACTTTCCATGGCTTCAGCGTCCAAGATACGGTACTCTTCGAGGCCCGTTGAAGCACCAATGAGATGAAACGCACCCGGCATCCGCATACCTCAAAAAGGCGGATGGAGATGGAAAATGGTCCTTTTAAATGGTGGATAAATGTGATTTGTGTGGATATATCTATGATATATCTAGGATTGTCTATGTATATTCTCTGGGAAATGTGGGGGCTGCAAGTGGCTGCAAGCCACCAAAATGACAAATTCTATCTAGGTCTAGTTCTCTTGCAAAATGATGCTAGTTCACCTCCAATTCAATCACTCATTAGTCTGCCGATCCTATATGTTCAGCTGTTCCGCATGGTTTTTTGGGAAATCCCCCATCTTACCATAAAAAAAGAAATTGGTTGAAACCTAGAGATAGTTTTTCCTGGGGGTTATAGAATTTCATAGGGGATATATTCAAGATATTACCCTCTGGTAATTTAACAGTTTGCTATTGAAAATACCCCATTTAGTTCGCTGCTTTACCTCTTCAAAATGGTGATTTTCTATGGCTATGCAAACCTTTCTTAGAGGGTTAAACACCATAAATCCCCATTGAATCCCATTAAATCACCATTAAATCACATTAAATCACCATTAAATCATATTAAATCACCATTAAAAGACCATACATCCCCCTAAATCGCCATTGAAACCATCAGTCAACATATCAAACTACCTCAAAATCTTCGGCCCCAGAAGAATCGCCGACTCGGGGCCCCGCACCCCAGAAGGGGAGCTTCAGCTCTTCGATCGCCTCGAGGCCGCGCGAGTCGCGCGCGAGTCATTGGGATCGACTGGATATAGGATGTTACTGATCTACCATCTATGGATCCAGTATATTATAGATGGATATATGGCAGTGTGTCAAAACCTTGTACCCCTGTAGTTCACATCAAAATAGCTGGGATTTATGGATGTTCATCCCACTAAAAATGGTATTAATAGGTATTGATCCATACCCATATTTATATATATATATATATTATAGGATATATCCATCTAATGATCTATTAGGATATATGTTATATTAGATATTATTAATTGGATATATATGGATCTAACATATAGGATATTACTGATCTACCCTCTGGTAAACGTTTACAGCTTGCTATTGAAAATTGCCATATGAAGTTCGTTGATTTACCCAGCTATAGAATGGTGGATCTTTCCAGTTGGTGATGTAAACGTTTACCAGGCCGGGTAATTTATCCCGTATCCATGGATCAGAAAAATATCCAACCATGTAACATCTATGGTTCAACTATGGGATTTACCGATCTATGGGATATTTTTTCGGATCCTTTCTTAGGGGGAACTCATAGGAATTTAAACACCCAAGACCAGTTGGGAGCTCGAAGCAACCCAAGACTATGGGAACTTGACAGGTACCATCTTTATTATTATACATTATGGACTATGGATGTTAATTATGTAGCATCCTCATCATATTATATAATCATATATAATCCATCGGTACCTCTCTTTACATCCCAAAATCTGGGGTATGTATAGCTTCATGGCCTCGTGGAGTCGTAAAATGTCGAGATGTGAAATCACACAAGGGTGACCCTTTGTGTTCCCCCCAACATTGCTGAGAATCTTGAATTCTGCTAACGTTCCACTTGATGGGGAAATATATGGATGAGCCAAATGATCTTGGGGATTGAACCAAATCAAGATTCTCAATCAAGCTCGATTTTTGAAAAGAAAGCTAGTATCAAGATGTATATCATTTAATATATATATACCATCTGATTATTTAACATAGCCATGGAAAATTGCCCATCTATAGATGGTTTACCTATTAAGAATGGTGATTTTCCATGGCTACGTTAAATAGCCAGAGGGTAAATCAAAACAGTTGTTTTTGTTTTTAGCCTTGGGCAAGGTTGGCTGAGAAAATGTCAACCCAGGATTGGTAAACACCCAGTCTATTAAACATGGGGGTGCCATAGTTAATGATTGGAATAATCACGAAAGATCACTATTTTAAGTTTATGGGAACCCCCTATCATAGAAAGCAGTGGCTTTACGACTGCTGGGTTGACATTCTCCGTCTGGTCAACCATAGTTGGTCACAGTATAAAGCAACATTGAAACAATCAAAACTCATGGGTGGTTGAGCTACCTGATGAAATACTGGTCACTGGACGTCTTCTTCCTCCAAAATAGAGAGGAAACTACGTCCTGGAAACCACCGCGGCAACCCGAAAAAATATGTGGAATGGTGGCCCACATCCAACGACAAGGCCCCTATCTTGGTGCCATAACAAGTGCACTCACAGTCAGGTGGTAGCTTCTGGAATGTCTGGATTCCCATTGTATCTATTTTGCTTTGCGATTGGTGCGTTCGAACTGGTGACAGGCGCCTGTCAAGTGGATCTGCACCTCTTCTGTTGAGTCACTGTTGAGCATATTGAATGGTAACAATTGGCAAGCTGTGAGTGCTTGGAGATTGATAGAGGAAAACATGTTGGGGGGCTGGCAGAAAAAAAGGCACTTCTATTTGATGTTTTGGGTGGCTCACTCAGCACAAATTCAAACATGTCGTAGCCATACTCTCTGGTTTTCAGTTTTGTCTGCTGGTAAGCGAAGGGAATGATCACAAAAACATCGCACTTGATCTTTGCTACCCAAACTCTGATGAGTTTTAAATCCAGAATTGATCAGAAGCAACTGATCGGAAATACAAAACCACAGCGTATGCTCGAAAGATGTTCTGGCAAACCCAGCTGCATAAATGGCGGATTCCAATCAAGTTTAGCCCATGTCAGATGTCCCTGTGTTTGGGCAAACCAAAAGCAGAACGATCGCAAGCTCCTTATCTATGGAGGGGACATTCCTTATAGGGACACTCCTATCGAACATTCCTTTTCATTAATTTTAGTTCCAAGTTCATTCCTAGTAATTTCATGTAATTCCATTTTTTGGAATTCAAAAAACATTACTACGTTTGGATCATCTTCAAGAATTGCTTAAAGATTTTTGGATGTTTTTTGAGATTGGTTTTTGATGTTTCTTTTTTTGGAGTTTCTTAGATTTGTTTGGCTGTTTTTTTGTGTGTTTGGAGTGGATTTTTTGGATTTTAGTGTGGAACTTTTATGTTTGTCATGATTTTGACTTTCTTTAGAATGTTTGGACATAGTGGATTTGTTCTTTATATGTTTTTTGAATGATTGAATTTTTGTCTGTCTTGCTGGATTGTGTTTTAAAAGCTATTTTTTGATTTGTTTGAGATGTTCTTGGAAATGTGTGGATTTGTGTTTGATTTGTTTGTTTCTTTTGAGATTTGTTTGAACAGATAGCAACTTTTAGGAGTAGCCCTGTTAGGAGTAGCGCAGGGCTCCTTAATCATCTGTATTAAATCCCACAAACAGCCTATGACGTGTTACAGTTAATGGTCTGCAAACAGAAGGAGCAATGCTGACTGTGACGCACTTTTCGGCAAAAGGAAACCTGTAACTCACAGCATGGCAAGCAATATAGTAGTAGCGGTAGAAAAGCTTTGAAGACCGCTAGGCAAGCTTACTCCTTCCAGGGTCTGGTTGAATCTAGAGCCCAATGTCAAGCTCCGCAGATTGCTTGGCAAACTCATTCCTTGCAGAGTCTGGTTGAATGAACCTCCAAATGTCAGGCTCTGAAGACTGCTGGGCAAAGCCACTCCGTCCAGGGGCTGGTCGAATGAATATCCAAATGTCAAGCTCTGAAGACTGCTGGGCAAAGCCACTCCGTCCAGGGGCTGGTCGAATGAATATCCAAATGTCAAGCTCTGAAGACTGCTGGGCAAAGCCACTCCGTCCAGGGGCTGGTCGAATGAATATCCAAATGTCAAGCTCTGAAGACTGCTTGGCAAGCACAAGCCTTGCAGAATCTGGTTGAATGAACCTCCAAGTGTCAGGCTCTGAAGACTGCTGGGCAAAGCAAATCCGTCCAGGGGCTGGTCGAATGAATATCCAAATGTCAAGCTCTGAAGACTGCTTGGCAAGCACACTCCTTGCAGAGTCTGGTTGAATGTATCTCCAAATGTCAAGCTCTGAAGACTGCTCGGCAAAGCCACTCCGTCCAGGGGCTGGTTAAATGAACCTCCAAATGTCAAACTCTGAAGACTGCTTGGCAAGCACACTCCTTGCAGAGTCTGGTTGAATGTAAAGCCCAACGTCAAGCTCCGCAGATTGCTTGGCAAGCACAAGCCTTGCAGAGTCTGCTTGAAGGAACCTCCAAATGTCAGGCTCTGAAGACTGCTTGGCAAGCTCACTCCTTGCAGAGCCTGGTTGAATGAACCTCCAAATGTCAGGCTCTGAAGACTGCTTGGCAAGCACAAGCCTTGCAGAGTCTGGTTGAATGAACCTCCAAATGTCAGGCTCTGAAGACTGCTTGGCAAGCTCACTCCTTGCAGAGTCTGGTTCAATGAACCTGCAAATGTCAGGCTCTGAAGACTGCTTGGCAAGCACAAGCCTTGCAGAGTCTGGCTGAATGAACCTCCAAATGTCAGGCTCTGAAGACTGCTGGGCAAAGCCACTCCGTCCAGGGGCTGGTCGAATGAATATCCAAATGTCAAGCTCTGAAGACTGCTGGGCAAAGCCACTCCGTCCAGGGGCTGGTCGAATGAATATCCAAATGTCAAGCTCTGAAGACTGCTGGGCAAAGCCACTCCGTCCAGGGGCTGGTCGAATGAATATCCAAATGTCAAGCTCTGAAGACTGCTTGGCAAGCACAAGCCTTGCAGAGTCTGGTTGAATGAACCTCCAAATGTCAGGCTCTGAAGACTGCTGGGCAAAGCCACTCCGTCCAGGGGCTGGTCGAATGAATATCCAAATGTCAAGCTCTGAAGACTGCTGGGCAAAGCCACTCCGTCCAGGGGCTGGTGGAATGAATATCCAAATGTCAAGCTCTGAAGACTGCTGGGCAAAGCCACTCCGTCCAGGGGCTGGTCGAATGAAATTCCAAATGTCAGGCTCTGAAGACTGCTAGGAAGATGCTGCAAATACATTCCGGAGTTGTTAACTTCCATCCTCGTCACTCCTTCCAGTGCGAGCTCTCCCTCAGGAACTGGGAGTCCGCGGATATAGCGCCAGGCTGCATACAAATCAGTAGGAACAAATGTGCAGGAGAGCGTTGCGTTCACACCTACAATACCTTGGTCTTGCAACGTCTGGCGGAGCAGCAGTGGTGCATCCTTGTGATGCAGTCTGACTTTACTTCCCTTCTTTGAAGGAAGTCGCTGCAAAACCATCTGCTGCAGTTCATGACCTAGAATGGATCCAATCACCATGAATTGACATCCTTCACCATTGAGGCAAAGCACCTGAATGTGAGTTCTTTCACAGCCACTGGCGCCAGCCGCCACATAGCCAGCCGCACTGCTGGACATCGTCAGTTGACAGCGTCCAACGGTGTGAGAGCTGGGTGTATGAATGCTACCCCAGCCTAGAAGTCTTCTTGCTCGATAGACCCATCAATTGTACTAAACCTCGAACATTAAACAAAACAGAACAGTTGATCTATATTCATCATGTTTGATTTTATCATTTATCATGTGTTATCGTGATTTATCACGTCATTGGCTGTTACATCTTTTCATCTGATGCATCATGATGGTGGACTCTGAGGGACTCAGTTTCTGCTCACCTTGAGCCATTTTACTTTCTCAGAATGCAGTTAGAACATATTAAAACAATTTGTTGCATACTGTCATACAATTTCTTTACATTGAACATGGCTTCAGACATGCTTTAGATTTTAAATTTTGGTTTCAAATTCTCTCTGTCTAGACTTCTAGACTATGATAGGCTACAGACATGCTGAATATCGACCATGGTCAAGTTAAAATCTTCCCTAAAACAAGTTTGGCCTCCATCTGCTGCTCCACCCCATCACTCTACCAATATCTAGCAATCAAAATCCTTGAAAAGAGAACCGCACCTTGAGTTGAGAAATTCCTGTTCGTCTGTTCGTTGGAAGAAGGGATACCTACGGAATGTTCAAAATGGAGGGTAAACTAACATAACTATGGAAAATCACCATTTTCAATGCGAAATCAACTATTTCAATGGCAAGTTTCAATAGCTATGTTAAATTACCAGAGGGTAAGACAACCAAAGGATGGGACATCAGGACATCAGGACATCCAGCAGCCATGTACGATTACCAATCCCCAAAATATGCCCATAACATGTTCCATGGCATGTACAATGATATCCATATTTATAGTTTTATACAAGATCCCGATTTCAGTTTGCTCTGGATCGTCGAAAAAAAAAACTTGTCAAATTATTGTCATTGGTTCATGCAGGTGTGAAAAGTGTGGTTGTGCTTGGTTCTGTCTGGTTGGTTTGCTTACATTCATCCACAGATTTGTTTTCGAGCTATAATCATGTATAGCTATATTTCATTTGTTGCAGCTAGTATACTCACCAGAAGTGAGCTCATCACAGCCAGTGCCAAAATAATCACCAATATGAAAAAATATGAAAACATTATGAAAAATAACAAAACATATCATAAAATGACATTTAATAACAACAAATAATAAAAAATAATAAAAAATAAAAACAAATAAAAACAACACATGGAATATTATTCTACACAGATTAATAGGTATACTCGAAAATATATCAATGTATGTCTAGATAAATTAATAGTTATATATATATATTATACAGCTATATAAATATATATATATATATAGTAACAATATATTGTAATATATTCTAATGTATTTCATATTTTTTACCATATTTACCATATCATGTTGTTCTTTGCACCATCCATCCCTGGGATCCCTGGGATCCCTGGGATCCCTGGGGCCGCCGACGTGTTGCACGAAGCGCCCGAAGCTGAAGGAACTCCCCGGCGCGCTCGGTGCGGCGCTCGTTGTCCCGTTGGCGCTGCGGCAGGCGGCGACGTTGAACTCCGGGATCTTCCTGTGCGATCCCGGGGGCGGACAATGGATCTTGATGGGTTTTTAGGGGTTAAACTATGGATATTTATGGATCTATGATTATAGGATCATGATATATCATGATATATCATGATTAAGGATATTTTTTGATTATATGGATCTATGATTATAGGGGTTAAACTATGGATATTTATGGATCATAGACCATTTACTAAGTAACAAAGATTCCCTTCATCGATTCCGCAACGGTGGATAAAAAAAACCATTGGGACAGAAAGTCATTGATTCGCCAGCCATAGCGGATTTACCCTGGGAAGATTACCCTATGGTATACGTTTACATAGGAAAGATCCACCATTTTCTAGCTGGGTAAATCCACTATTTCGACTGGGCCATTTTCAATAGCTATGTTAGTTTACCAGAGGGTAATGGGCCTTTACAAAGGGAAAATGGATGATCATGGTGATTTAATTGATGTAATGGTGATTTAAAAGTGATTGAATGGGTCTTAATAATGGGGAAATGCTTGATAATTTTGGTGATTTGATGGTCATAATTGAGAATTATGGGGATTTACTGGGTTTTCATGGGATCTAATGGGAAAGTATTGATATAAAAATCGTCTATTCTCTCAGAAATCTATGGAGAATCTACGGAAAATCATGGGATACTGTTGATTTCATGGTGATTTCATGGGAACATGGGCCGTCTTTGTGCCATGCGGAGCGTGGCGCACAGCATGAACTTGGTTTTTTTTGATCCCCTGCTTCTTGGAGTATGACTATATCCTATCTGAGAGGTGACTCAGTGGATTGAATCGTGTCTCCTCATTTGTGAAGGCGTTGATATGCTATCCATGTTTGATGGATTTTTGGTTTACGGGTGTATGACATCCTTCAATTAAAGCACTTTAAATACTTTAAATAAATGTTGTGACTAAAAGTGGGTTTCAAATCGGGCTGAAGGTCTCCTAAAACGCTAGTATCACGGCTGACATTTTACAAGATCCAGTGATCCAGGACATTTTTACACGTCAGAAGGTTCTTCAGGGTCCAGCACATCTCAAAGACCATCACTTTGAAACTGCTGGGCTGAGATTTCTGGGTCTAAAAAAAACAACACAGTGCTGAGATTTCAAAGGAACAAATTGCAGGAGACCCAGAGATCTTTGGTGTCAAAAGCTGGGACACCAAGCCGAACTGAGCCGAGGGGCTTCCAGGTTCTGGGTTCCAAGATGTAAAACAACGGAGAGACCTGGTGGGCCAAGCTGTTTTCGCAATGCCCAAAGTCCAAAATCCACAGAACTGATGGCTTTTTGATAGAGTACTGTAGTAGTATGCTATAGTGTGCTGTAGTATGCTGTAGTATGCTATAGTTGTTAGAAGAATTAATCCTGAGTATCTCTAAAAACATATATCATATCACAGAAATAACGAGTTAAATAAACCAGGTTGTAGTGGTTAAAGAATGATCATCATCGAATATGGGAACATCCAACGTTCCCATGATCAGGAGGCTCCATTGGATAGAATTGGCCTGTACACCCATCAGACAAAGACACCTAAGAAGTTCTTGAAGCAACAAAAAATCTGATTTTTCAAGTCTCCTCGTCACACACGGCCACTGAAAAAAGAAACGCCCGTTGCCCCAACATGCCCGTTGCGGGCATGAAGGGCACGTCACTAGTGTCCCCAAGATTTCATCATTCAGATTCACGTCCCCACCACACTTCGAGGATCATCTTAAGCAACGAAGTTTAAGCCTTAAAGACAGACTCTGTAAAAATGGATAACCTCAACTGGGTACCTCGCATTAAGCTACTCGTGACTGGTCGCATGCTCTGAATCTTCTTGCCATCTGACGTTTGATTATCTTGTTTCACCTGTTTCGTGCATGACGTCAACTGTATTGGCATGCGATAGGCAAGACACAAATGCACCAATATTAAACGACTTCATTATTCAATACAAATCTACACTTGGCAAAACAATGCCGTAAAGCAATGGCACTCTGACCTGGTGATAACAAAGGTATAGCCCCTTTTTTGGGTCGTTGGTCCTTGGTTGATCACGTGATTTCCCCATGTTCAGACAGAGTCAAAATTATATGTTGGTTACGTACATCTCACTAATGATCATAAAATCTGTTTTGATGGTCGACCTACCCCTCTGAAAAATATGAGTCAGTCAGTTGGAAGTATTATTCCCAATATAATATGGAAAAATAAAAAAAATGTTCCAGTCACCACCAACCAGATAAAATCTGTGTTGATTTCTGCTCATCCTACGTTTATTGCTTAAATCCTACCTTTGTTGGCAGACACCCCCCATGCCATAGCCGTTCCGCTTCGCCCGCTTCGCCGTTGCCGGGGCACAAAGGGAAAGTCACATCCCCGCTGTCCCGGGATCGGCTTCTCCACGAAAGAGACCACCTACGGAACGAAGGTTTCATAAAGGTCAAAGCTTAACAACCTGAAGCCTGGAAGCTACAGAATATATAGAAGGGTCACAATCAGGTTAACGGTGGTTAATGGATGATTAATGGATATATATACCTGGTTGGTGGTTGACCTACCCCTCTGAAAAATATGAGTCAGTTGGGATGATGACATTCCCAACTGAACGGAAAAATAAAATTCATGTTCCAAACCAAAAACCAGATATAAAAAGAAGGGTCACAATCAACTTCAGAACTTAGAAAGCGGAGATTGATAAAATGTACAGAAAATGTGGTGAAGATTGCATCATCAACCAATTTTGGCAACTTAGATCAAAGTCGGAGATTCAAACAGCTGGAATATGATGGCAATGAAACATTGGGGTTTGTCTGAAAATGGGGGATACACCAAAACTGCAATTTTAAATTTTGGGTGTAGAGGATTCTTATTTAGGCAAACTTATCTGTTGTAAGTAGAATAAACCGGTTATTGGGCCCACTGGTGAAGAACCGCTGGCAACGGTTCTGGGCCTAAGTTTGCAACAAAAGCCGCAGAATCCACTTAAATGGAATGATTGGAATGATGGACTGGTCGAAAATCTTGGCAATCTCATCTTGAGGGTCCACAACTTGGATGTGTTTTTTCGGGGCTCACGAAAACAAAACCTTCATCGATTCCGCAACGGTGGATTTAAACCATTGGGACAAAAAAAAAATCGATTCCCCAGCCATAGCGGATTTACCCTGGGAAGATTACCCGGCCTGGTAATGACTAACAGTTTGCGACATAGAAAATGGCCCAGTCGAAATAGTGGTAAATCCCCAGCTATAAAATGGTGGATCTGTCCAGTTCGTTATGTTATTAACCACATATATAATTAATTATATATATATACACGTATCGATGATATTAACAATATGGCTATGGGCTATGGGTCAAAACCTTGTACCCCTGGTGAACATCAAAATAGCTGGTAAATGGATGTTCATCCCCCTAAAAATGGTATTAATAGGTATTGATCCATAGCCATATATTAACCATAGCTATCCCAACGCAGGAAGATCAAGAAAAATCACGTCCACGTCGCCGCTTGGCCTTGCTGCTTTCATCGACTTCGCACATGCCGCGCTCAGAGGGATTGTCCACTTCCCGACACCTCAGCCGTGGAAGCCGTGGGCTGTGCAATGCACTGGAGATCCTGCGGAAAACGTTGAAAGATGTGGAAACACCATCCACACATGGTGGGGAAAACCACATCGAAGTGTTGGAAAATGCAGAGGGTAATCACCAAATATGGTGGGAAACAATAAACATCTGGAAATGTCACATCTATGTTAGACTACATCTATGTGATAATCACCAAAAATGATGGTTTACCCACCCAACAAGAGGCGGCTTGTTAAGCATCAACAGTGCTGGTTTTTTTTTTGAAATGTTTCTAGCCACCAAGGACACAAAATTTTGACCAACAACATCCAGCAACTACCGAGAACTGGAGATTAAAAAACAAAATATTGCATTTACCCTCTGGTAAACTAACATAGCTATTGAAAATGGCCATTTATACTGGATGTTTCCATTAAAAATGGTGATGTTCCATAGTTATGTTAGTTTACCAGAGGGTAACCCACGGATTGATATGATCCATGATGAGCGGACATTCTCTCAAAATCAAGACTCCTTGACGATCTCGATTTTTAATACCCGAGGTAAGCAGGAAGGCCAGTGAGAGTTCCGCCCCTATCACATCCCATCACCACTCCAATGGGCCAACACGGGGCATCCAAAGCATTGTGGATGATATTTTGAGATGTGGATTTGATTCAAAACTGGACATCCCAAAGTCCGTGGCGGTTATCATCATGTTGTGTATATTATAATATATATATATATATTATATATAGTATAATACGTATGTAGATATTAATACGTATATTTATCAAAGGAAGTTTAGGGGGAGAAACTTCCGTGTTACGGACTTTTAGAATGTCAGGGAAAGAGTTAATCAAAGAAAGAGTTAGCAAAGAAAGAGTTCGTCAGGGAAAGAGTTAGTCAAAGAAAGAGTTAGTCAAAGAAACAGTTAGTCAGGGAAAGAGTTAGTCAAAGAAAGAGTTAGTGAGGAGAAAGAGTTAGTCAAAGAAAGAGTTAGTCAGGGAAAGAGTTAGTCAAAGAAAGAGATAGTGAGGGAAAGAGTTAGTCAAAGAAAGAGTTAGCAAAGAAACAGTTAGTCAGGGAAAGAGTTAGTCAAAGAAAGAGTTAGTGAGGGAAAGAGTTAGTCAAGAAAGAGTTAGCAAAGAAACAGTTAGTCAGAGTTAGAAAGAGTTAGCCAAAGAAAGAGTTAGTGAGGGAAAGAGTTAGTCAAAGAAAGAGTTAGCAAAGAAACAGTTAGTGAAAGAAAGAGTTAGTCAAAGAAACAGTTAGTCAGGGAAAGAGTTAGTCAAAGAAAGAGTTAGCAAAGAAACAGTTAGTCAGGGAAAGAGGTAGTCAAAGAAAGAGTTAGCAAAGAAACAGTTAGTCAGGGAAAGAGTTAGTCAAAGAAAGAGTTAGTGAGGGAAAGAGTTAGTCACAGAAAGAGTTAGCAAAGAAAGAGTTCGTCAGGGAAAGAGTTAGTCAAAGAAAGAGTTAGTGAGGGAAAGAGGTAGTCAAAGAAAGAGTTAGTGAGGGAAAGAGTCAGTCAAAGAAAGAGTTAGCAAAGAAAGAGTTCGTCAGGGAAAGAGTTAGCAAAGAAAGAGTTAGTCAAAAAAGAGTTGCGTTAGTGAGGGAAAGGTTAGCCCCAAAGAAAGAGGTAGTGAGGGAAAGGAGTTCGGCACAGAAAGAGTGATTAGCAAAAGAAAAGAGGTCGTAAGGAAAGAGTGGTCAAAAAAAGAGTTAGTCAAAAGAAAGAGTTAGTCAGGGAAAGAGTTAGTCAAAGAAAGAGTTAGTTGAGGGAAAGGGTTAGTCAAAGAAAGATTAGTGAGGGAAAGAGTCGTCAAAGAAAGAGGTGTGAGGGGAAAGAAGTTAGTCACAGAAAGAGTTATCAGGATATATGAGGTTAGTTCAAAGAAAGAGTAGCAAAGAAAAAACAGTTAGTCAGGAAAGAGTGTCAAAAGAAAGAGTTAGGGAGTGGAAAGAGTTAGTCACAGAAAGAGTTAGCCAAAGAAATGTTCCGCAATGTTGTAAATGGGATTGCAAGTGGTGCTGGTGGATGAGTTGCCGATGGAGTTTGAAGGAAGTCTCGCACGAAATGCGTTTTTGAGAGATAGCAGATGCACGAAACTTCCCTGTGTTTTTCTAGACAAAGTGCGTCCCCGAACGTCGATGATTCTGATCTACCTCTGCGGTGCGACGGGTGCGAGACGGTCTCGTGTGTGGTCGGATCATTCTCGGACCATGGTCGGATCATTCTCGGACCATGGTCGGATCGGTTCCGCATTGTAAATGGGGTTTCAAGTGTTTTTCGTGCATGCGCGGTCGACAGAATTCCATTGTGATTTGCAACTGTAGGATCGTTCCCGCAATGTAAATGGGATTGCAAGTGGTGCTGGTGGATGAGTTGCCGATGGAGAGTTTTGGGAGGAAGTCTAGCACGAAATGCGTTTTTTTGAGAGATAGCAGAGCACGAAACCTACGTGGTTCCATCAAAAGCCGTCCCCGAACATCATGATCTACCTCTGCGGTGTAAGTGTTGCGAAGGCTGTGCGAGACGGTCTCGTGTGTGGTCGGATCATTCTCGGACCATGGTCGGATCATTCTCGGACCATGGTCGGATCGGTTCCGCATTGTAAATGGGGTTTCAAGTGTTTTTCGTGCATGCGCGGTCGACAGAATTCCATTGTGATTTGCAACTGTAGGATCGTTCCCGCAATGTAAATGGGATTGCAAGTGGTGCTGGTGGATGAGTTGCCGATGGAGTTTCACGAAATGCGTTTTTGGCGCTAGTGATTTTCCTTCTAAAAATTCTTTTAAAAAGTGCTTCAAAATCGTCTTTTTTTCGCTCTGGCGTCGAGATCCGGTTTTGGAGCTACAATTTCCGACGCCGTTGCGCGTAGTTCTCTTGTGTTTTGCAACTCAGTCTCCGCAGATCGCATTGGAATGGCTGTGTCAAGGTTGCTTCATGCTGTGGCTGCATGCGTAATACTATTGTCTTTTGTAGCTGGACTTCGTAAATCGTATTGGAGTGGCTGCATGAAGGCTGCGACAGTGATTTGTCAGCAGATTTTCTCCATTTTGGCGCTAGTGATTTCCCTTCTAAAAATCCTTTTAAAAAGTGCTTCAAAATCGTCTTTTTTTCGCTCTGGCGTCGAGATCCGGTTTTGGAGCTACAATTTCCGACGCCATTGCGCGTAGTTCTCTTGTGTTCTGCAACTCAGTCTCCGCAGATCGCATTGGAATGGCCGCGTCAAGGAGTTTTGAAGGAAGTCTCGCACGAAATGCGTTTTTGGCGCTAGTGATTTTCCTTCTAAAAATCCTTTTAAAAAGTGCTTCAAAATCGTCTTTTTTTCGCTCTGGCGTCGAGATCCGGTTTTGGAGCTACAATTTCCGACGCCGTTGCGCGTAGTTCTATTGTGTTTTGCAACTCAGTCTCCGCAGATCGCATTGTAATGGCTGCGTCAAGGTTGCTTCCTGCTGTGGCTGCATGCGTAATACTATTGTCTTTTGCAGCTGGACTTCGTAAATCGTTTTGGAGTGGCTGCATGAAGGCTGCGACAGTGATTTGTTAGCAGATTTTCTCCATTTTGGCGCTAGCGATTTTCCTTCTAAAAATCCTTTTAAAAAGTGCTTCAAAATCGTCTTTTTTTTCGCTCTGGCGTCGAGATCCGGTTTTGGAGCTACAATTTCCGATGCCATTGCGCGTAGTTCTCTTGTGTTTTGCAACTCAGTCTCCGCAGATCGCATTGGAATGGCTGCGTCAAGGTTGCTTCTTGCTTTGGCTGCATGCGTAATGTCTTTTGCAGCTGGATCTCGTATATCTCGTACATCGTCTTGGACTGGCTGCATGAAGGCTGCGAAATGGATTTGTTAGCAGATTTTCTCCATTTTGGCGCTAGTGTTTTTTTGTTGCACGTAGGTTTAGAGCAGTGTGAAGTGTGGGGCGTGAAGAGTGCAGTGTGAAGTGTGCAGTGTGAAGGAAGCAGTGGGAAGTGTGAAGTGTGGAGTGTGAAGTTTAAGTTTGGAGTGCGAAGAGCGCAGTGTGAAGTGTGGAGTGTGGAGTGTGAAGACTTTGCTTCGTCTCTCGCTGAAAAAATCAACCGGTTGTCGAGGGAAGGACACGGTCGGGACAGGTTGTCTTTGAACTATAGGTCATTTATGTTTGGGAAACTTCCGCCGCCGGCTTGCCCGGGTCTATGTTATGAGAGAATTCGTTGTCGGGGGGCCCCGATTCCCCATTTTCAGAGCCATTTTCAGACCATGAGACCATCAGACCCAGCGGGGTCGGGACTGGACGAACCCCAACTTATGGAAGTTTGTTAAGTCATGGGGGATCCCCTAAGTGACCATAGGTTTCAATACTAAAATATGGATTTGGGGATTGACACCTATGACTTGGTAAGTTAGGGGATTCATGGCCTTCCTAATGACTTGGATGATTTGGGGGTGCCATGACTTTGGAACCTTCTCCCTTCTCCCTTCGGATGTCATCACAAGCGCGACCCCCAACCACCCGCGACCCGCGTGAGGGATCTGTGCAGCTTAGAAACCCGTAGTAGAGCATCAATGATCCACCCTTGTAGAAGTGAAAGTCCAAGATCCTCTTTTTTTATTTAGCACGCTGTCAAGGCAGCCACCGGTGGCAACTGAGGTTCTTTAAAGGTCATTGAAGCCACTTTATGGAGTACTTCCGTTGTTCGCAAATGGATGTGGATCAAAATTCAAGACTTTCCAAAACGGCTTATTTTGGTGATCTTCTAGTGAACTCATTTTGGGTCGCCCCAAGTTGTATCATCCCCATACTTTGGAGAAAAAAAAGAAAAAACCTACCCAAAAACTGTGTCGATGGCAATCCGATTCATCTGGGGTTCACCCCAGGCAATAAACCTATATAAACCTACCATGACTTCCCGGGTGGGCCGGGGGTTCACTTGGACCCCCCCAAAGCCCCTCATCTGGACCCCCCCCATTTTAGGGGGCGAGAGGGCGGCGA